TCCGTTGCAGCTTCCAGAAGCGAGAAGGCGCCAAGTGCAACGACTAGCCGTGCAGGAAGGCGATGGTACGCTGCGACTTGGCACAGAAGTCAAGTTCGCCGTAACCACTGCGCAAGAAGACAATCAAAGCTCCAGCTGAGGCTTCATGAGAGAGCTCTCTACGAAGCAGAGACTCCTCTGGGAGTCGATATGCCGCCTGCAAGGGCCGGCGAACGTGACCTGGACTACCGTCAGCCTTGTGATCGATGTCGTACTTCTGAAGGATGGCCAACGCTGCCCAGCAGGCGCCGGCACTCGTGGCCAACGGCCGGCACTGCAATTCAGAGCCGGGCTGGGTTCCGCTATCCGCGGGTGCGGCTTCTCTTTTTTTCATGTACCCCTCGTAACGGCGGCGGGAAGGAGTCTACTCCTCGACACTACGATTGAGATTCTAGATGCAGGAGAAGCATTGCCGACGGAACGCTCAATTTAGCATGGTGCTCGTACGACCGGGGACCTTGTCGATAACAGGCAGCCATCACCTGCCGTGGACAGAAAAGTATTACAGCTGCGCAGAAAGATCTGCTCGGCCCAGCTCTGTCGCAGCCTTGGTATGGCCCGCCCCTGTTTTGACTATTCAATGTATCATACCTAACAAGTCATCAGATCAGAACTGTCATTGTTGTTGGTTTTATGTCGTATGAAGTGCCATTTGACACGCTGCAGGCTGCGCTGTGTGGCCATCCAGCCCTTCTCATTTGCGTCTTCTACCAGCTCATGCACCCTGGCGGCAAATTATCGACGCGGAGTGGTCCCCGTGGATATCCAATGCTACATGACCACACCATCACCGTCTGCATGTCCAATTACGAGTCAGCTACTCGTAGAGTGCTTCACTGTCTTCTGTCAAGTCTCGTGGTTGATCTCCCACACCTGCTCCAGGGTCGAGCTCGTTGCTACGTTCCTTTCAGCTGGGGAAGTCTCTCGCTGACCTCAGTCGTTGGTTGGCACAGTGTCATTGCACCCATGATGCCACGAGTGCATGAGTCTTCCAAATCCATGGACCATCACAGTGTCCCACACCTGCATGACCGGGAAGGCGAGTTAGGGATATCTGCGGTGTCAATGGAGTAAGTGCTTACATCCCACGTTCGGCCTGGACAAGAATGCTTGACCCATTCCCACACCATGGAACGACACTCTACACCTGTACGAACCTCCAGCAGCACCCCATTACCTAGTTAGAGTGCAAGTGTACGACCCTTGCCACGCCACCACACCACTACATCTCCTCCGCAGATACACATCATCCAATACACAGCTTTGTTGGCTCTCCACCCGCACCTATGCCGGTCCAAAGCGAAATCATCAGCCTATCGCCGGAGTTGACCCCCCAGCTTCCTTAGACGACGGCTGCAGCATTGAGCATAGTTCTGTCCGCAGTACCATGTCAACCCACGTGTTGCTCCTACTGTAACCTTGGGATTCTGATGGTTTCACGTTGAACCAATACCATACACCACGGGTAGCTGGACGCCGCCACCCCACAGAATCGCACCCTCCTTTCGATTGACACCGGCAGGTTTGACATCAGGAGGATTCTAACTGCAGGTGTAACAGATTTACCCTGACAAAGAAGCCATGTGTTCGCAATTGTACCTGATCAACGGCCTTACACCGTGGCCAAAAGCCACCTGATTTATGAGGCTTGGCTTAATGAACTGATTGATCACCTCGGCCCTCAGCGGGCCGGAACTTCGTTAATCTCATCTCATCAGGGACCGTTAGAAGGCGTTGAGGCTCTAACAACATGTGGCCGCGTGGCTTGCAACTCTGTGTCTAGATGAATGACCCGTAGCCATCCACAAGTTACCTACCACCATACATCAATCACATCACCCAAGAACTATGGAAACTACCGGGCGATCGCCCCGCTGCACGGCACACGGGTTTACACACAGACTGGTTCCAAAGAGCTGCGATGTGTTCGGCGATCACCCGCCCGGGGTTCAGGTAGGAAAAGGAGGGGGAACCGGGACCGCGTATACTCTTCAGCGCGATCGGTCCAATCAGAAGAGTGTGATGCCCATAGTCTGTGCGGTAGACTTGTGTCAACGGGCGAGGTACCACCTAGTAAGCATATCTCGCGGCCGAACAAGCTTCAAGACACAGCCTCCTCCAACGCAGCGCCGCCTCTCAATTCAGGACACGATCATCCCCCCTCGAGAATACACGGTCCCGAGCAAGGCTTCTAAGAGAGGGGTTATAAAAATAACAACCACGGTCGCACTAACACGGTTCGAGATCATCACGTTGCAGTAGGGCCCGCCCGGGGCGCCGGCAGCAGCGCGGCGCGCCCCCCCTCTCCACGTGTTTCGCGAGATTGCAAGCTTGCTATAGAAGGCCAGCCTTGGATGCGAATGGAACGGCGAGCTGCATGCCCATGGATCTTGCGTCATCCCAGGAACGAAACAGTCCACCCGCATGGCGGCGCGCATCTTTTGTTGGGCGAGATTTGCACCGCGAGCTACTGCGTTCTGCTTACTACTGCTACTATTACATAGCTGCCACCACTAGATGCGCACCCAGCTCAGACTACAGGCATGCATGCATATACTTGCACACGAACCGTGACGAGAACAAGTGTACATACATGCATACATACATACCCACCCACACCACACACTCTACCCTGCTGTGCCCTCCTGCTTCTCTGGCCCCATGCCACGTGCTGGCAATAGATCGTGGTTGCAATCCACGCAGATTGTTGCTGACCGCAGGCTCTCTCATTTCACAAGAGAGATACATCACATGGGTGGGAAAACGCTGTGTGAGTGTACATGCGTTGAAGATGCATACGACGAGGCAGGCCCGCCCCCATCTCGCAGCCTGCAGAAAACCTGAAACGCTCGACGCCACACTCGACTTTGGAATCATTGTCGAAGAAGGGCAATGGAAGCACGCCAGAAACGAGAATGCCTACAACGCCATCGTCTGCGGCTGCTACCGGACAGGGTGCGGGCCTGCTTCCCCCCCCCCCCCCCCCCCCCCCCCCCCCCCCCCTCCCCTTCTCGATAGACGAGGAAACAGAAACAGAAATACTGTGACCGGCCGTGCATATCATGTAGTAGCGAGGGGTGACAGATGCAGCACCGTTTGGAAATACAACCCACGGCTCTCGCATCTGATTGGCGCAGAACGAGCTCCATCGAATAAAAGAGATGCCCTCGATCAATTCAATGTCACGTCATTGTCAACATGATATCAGGAAGCAACACGATTGAGGAGCGAGACCTGTTATCAGTTGAAGGCAAGGTACGTCATAATCATCATGATAATCAAGAGAGAGCAAGCAACAGCATACGGCTCCCATGGTTTCATGTTGACCAAGCCACTCTCTGTTGTTATTTTTTACCATCTCCTTCGCAGCAAGGTACCAACAGCAGCAGCAGCGCTAGAAGCGGGGGCATTATTACATGGGCGTGGCATGACAGTGGCATTATTACATGGCGCTGCAACATGCTGTACATAGGTGAATTGTACATAATGATATGACGATCATCCCAGTCGGCCATGTGCCGCAGGATAAAGTAGGCCAGGCCAACCCAAGGTACCATTGGGTAGAGACGTAATAAGCTCGCGACCGGAGGATGCGCGCGACGGGCGGGAAGATGACCAGGCCAGACCCCTTGAGCTGCGTGGCGGTAGGGTTACTCGTAACGGGGGTGAACTCGGAGAGCATGTCACCTCAACCTCATTGAACGCCTTTCCCCCCCAATCCCCTAAGGCCTGGTGGAAGTGCAAAGACGGGGACCCGCCAGCGGCACGTACGTCATGCAGGCGTGAGAGCGGCAAAGCGGCTACGTGACCTGACAGGAAACACCGGGAGATGAGATGAGATGATCTGACAGGTCCACATCAGCGTCAGAACGAGGCGCGAGACCACAAACGCCCAAGACGCAACAGAACCGTCCGTGCCTGAGAGCAGATGAGGTAGAGCGAAAAGTCCAGATGAGACGGACGAACCAGAGCCCGGGTATGGGCGTCAGCTCATTCAGCTCGTACTCGCACGTACCGATACGGCGTAGGCAGGCTACACAACGGCTGTGTAGTAAGTAGTCCATGACCCCATGATGATTTCACCTGGCAACACATACCAAGAGGAAATATACGACGGGGTAACGATGCCAGGGGTTTGATGAGCGCACCCACAGACTGACAAGGTCTGATGCGTGTGTGTGTGAGTGTGTGTGAGGGCGTGTAATTGTGAATACGCTCACGCATGTATCTTGAACAATGATGAGAAAGTCACTAGAACTTCCTCCCCATCAGGCACCTTCGCCACAGCAGAGATGGAGGGTGATATTGCAGCTTGCGAAACACGCAGGAATCGAAGAGATAAACAAACGAGCAGCAGAGACCGGCAAAGACCGACAGCGGCGCCATGCAGCTGCGAGCATGCAGCGGGAAATGTCCAAATTTCCCTGGTATGGTCCCGACGGCCATAGAACACAAGATGAACCGCGGAAGGCCTCTCATCCGCTGACCTTGTCTGAGTCGATAGATCGGTAGCTGCATTGTGTCTCCTAGTTTCGAGAGTGAACCCAGCCACGCCAGAGTTAGCTCACCCAAGGCGTACCTGCTTCGCCCATTGTGTCTGATCCGAGATCGCCCTCAAGGTACCACGGTATCCTTCCTTTGTCCTGCCGTCGTAACTTTCAAGTCCGTTATGTTTCGGCGCTATCTGTATTCCACTGATAATCGGAATGCACGGAGCATAGGCCACACCCCCTCCTTTTCGAGGATGCCCTCAAGGCTTGCTTTGAGGCAATGTTTACCAGATGCATGGCATCAGCAAACGTGAAACTGAATCTAGAAGCTGGGGAAACACAAGTTGCCTGCCCAGAAGCTCTCAGGAGGATCTGTCTGCGTTAGCCAAGGCCCCCCTCAGCTGCGCAGCATGAGAGGGCTTAGCGCCTCACGCCCCCAACGACCACGTTGTGCGCCTTGTGGCCCGCCTTTCATAGACGGGCGTGCCTTGCCTTGAAGATGGCCACCTTGTCATCGTAAAACAGAATCTCTCGCAGGCGGAGTCGGGATCCTGATTGGTGGTTTTCCGGCTCCTCGAAGTTGTCAGCATCTGACTCGACATCGTCGGATACCTCGGTGAGGTCGTCGTCAACATCCGTGGGTGTGCTGGCCGTCGTACCCGCATCATCATCGTCGTCCTCTGTTTCGTCCGCCTCGCTGTTGTTGTTTGACCCATCCTCGTTATCCTCGTCGTCCATGACCGAAATAGCACCCCCTGTATGATGGTGGTGGGCGAACCCATTGGAGCCGAGCTGATCTGCTGCTCCGCTTCTCGCAGGACACTCGAGAACCTCGAAACACTTGTTCCTGATCCCTATGTAGCAAAGCTTGACTTCCGGTCGCAAAGTGATGATGTCAACAAGCTGTAACGCCAGCTCTTTCGGCTCATATGTCCCTCCGATGTGTTCTTGTATATGTGGAAAGTAGAGCGACCGGAGCTCCGGTACGTTTGGAAGCCTTTGGAGGAATGAGTGCTACCGGTTCCCCAGTTAGTGGTGCCCAGGCGCATTAACGATGTTTCCCATAGCAGGACTTACCCAATCCTTGTAGTGAATATTCACGGCAAGCTCTTTCAGACTCGGCAGACGCCCACTCGTAATGTAGCATACCATATCGCTCTTGAGGACCCAGTGCTTCCACCGACCTCCCTCTGACCGAGACTCCCGTCCCAACTTATCGTTGCTGTCGATCAAAAGCTTTTTCAAACTCGAACGATGTCGCTTCACTGCCACCTTGAATATGGTATCTATGCTCACGGGAGGCGGCGCACTGCGCCGACGGTCTTGTAGGAACAGACTTTCTAGAGTATTGGGCCCAAGTGTTTCCTTGATGAAACTTATTAGGGCGTGTGATGTGACGTCGGAATGTATCCTCTTCAATGCGAGGTGATATTGCGATGGTGTTCCTGGTGCTGAGCCGTGAGGAGGAACCGTGGGTTGAAACCGTCTCTTGAGGACTTTCCACAGGGTTTCGTGTTGGTTACAGTTGAGTATCGTCAAGTTTGTCAGTACGGACCAGTCGAATGCCTTGCAACAGACCTGCATGGAGAGCGTGATTCTCTCAAGCTCTAGAGTCTGAAGTTTCAATTTTCCGACAAGGCGTCTCTTCCCATCAACTGAATCAATGCCGTCGTTATTACTCTGGGGGGCCTTAAACGCCCCTGACATTGAGGATGGCTCTTGCGAATCCAGGGAGCCACTTGCTGCCTGGTGCTGGTCTTCCGAAACCATCCAGGCCTTGGACGACCCTGCGGCTCCGGGTATGGGTGCAGTCTCTGTGATAGGCCTTATAGAATCTGCTGAGTATCGTCTTGGTTTTGAGTGTGCCTTTTGACGGATCTCATAGATCCTGCCGACTACAACACCCAAAACACCGCCCAGTCGTTTGTCCCCGATCGTGCTCTCACCTGGCCACCGAGCATCAAAATCTATCTGCTGTAAGTTGGTTCCCTCCCAAGTACTGACAAAGTCCTGGGTCATAGCCTTCTGAGAGACTCCCAATCTCAGCTCCTGTAGCGTATCTTTAGACCGCTCCACCAGTATAGAAATCTCGTCCAGGTAAGCCAGCTCATCAATGTCAAGAACAGAGAGACTCTTCAGTGGCGGTAACACGCTAAAGGTAGGATACTCAACCTGGCTGTCCGAGTATTTCGGAGGCGAAGGCGAAGACGTATGAGTTACAAATGGCAAGAGAAGAGGCTGTATGTTCTGAATGGGCACGGCGGATACAGGTACAGTGGGCGGCACCACCGGGCTCGACAATGATGTTGCCGTAACATTTGCTTCCCAATTCTCATGCCATCGTATGTGAACCTTGTCCAACTTGGGCCGGCCGTCAGGATAATGATCTTGAAGGGACGCCAGGGCCATGAACACATCGGAGAGGACACCGGTGGGCATATCCCAAACGAAGGTTTCTAAGTTGACCATTTTGGCCACAGCCAAGGCTACCAGGGTGCCCAGCATTTTCCCACTCTCCTTGGTGATATTGTACTCGGATATCCAGCTTGCAGGGCCGTTCCCCAGGCCGAATTTGCGGGTATGTTTTGCATACTGATTATCGATGAAGCGATTCGAGCCGCTGCCACCTTGGGCAGGACCACCTCTCAACCACCTCGTTCGCTGTGCAAACTTGCTCCCTAAGCACAGAGTGGACAGGCCATACGTGAGAGCATCGACACCCTTGGAGTCAGAAGCTGCAATGTTGATATCAGGCCACACGATGTCGAAGCGCGCGTAGATGTGGGGGATCGAGAGGTTGTACAGCGTCGAGCAAGTCCGTGCAAGCGCAGTCAGGTCATTGGTCTGCGTGATCTGGAGAGCGCACACAGGTCAGCGGAGAGCACTGGAGCTGGATCCGGGGGCATGGCATTTGTGGCATATCGCCTACCTCCTTGACAACCAGCCTTAGTATGTCTACTGGCAGGTCTAGGAAATGGAGCGGCAGAATGGCTTCTGGCGCCCTCCGCTCTCGTTCTTTCCCTTTGTCCCGCAAGAGCCTTGCCACAAGGGACGAGTGCTGTCGTGGCGGCGCATTCGCCTCGGGAGGAGGGGGGTCCCAAAGCAACACCGATTCTGGATGGTCATCTGGTCTCGTGTGCGCATGCGACACGAGGTGCTCCTTCGAAGAGCTTAGATCTGAATCGTCTGCCATTTCCATCGCCGTGGCCCTCTGCATGGGCTGACCCTACACCCTCTCAGCAAGCACCGGGGGTAGAAATGGATCGCATAGTGCGGGCGGCGAAGACTCAAGAAGGCTGGGCCGATCCAGGCGTCAGTTAAGGCTGTCGGAATGGAGTGCTCGGATAGCTACGTGTGGTGGTACCCGCACCATTCGTCATCTACGCGCCCAGCGTGGTGTCAGGTCGATGGGAGGGTCCAGAGAGGAGATCGAGGGTGGTAGTTCGTCGTTACGCGATCCAAACTCAGTTTGAGGCTCTGCAACGCTCGCTGCAGCCGGGTCTGTGCTGGCCGCAACGGAGCTCTTGTGCCAGTTGCTGTATTGCCCGCCCTGCCTATTGCACTAGGTGATATATTTAGACGGCAAGGGACCTTTGCAAGAATAGGGACTCGAGAATGGTCGGGGTCGAGGCCTCTCACAAGACAATTTGGGAACCGAGCCAAAACAGAGAATTCAGAGCACAGTTGGAGTCTTGAATCGGATGCAACCAACGTCCGTTGGCACTCCAGTATCCCTTTGGAACGTCGCTTAGTGTTGCGAAGAGTTGCGAGGCCCACTCGACCGTACGGCTAACACATGAGGCGCTGGTAAGTGGCAGGTTGATTCACAGAACCACTGGTGAAGAAATCTTTCCGACTAGAAAAGCGGTGAAACTGATCTGACGTTCTGCGGTCGCATTGTTGAGGCTCAAAACAGAAATCAAGAGCTGCTGGTGATCCTTCCGGGGCCGGCGATCCCCTGTAGCGCTAGACCGCCAGATTACGGGGTACCGACCCGTAATCAGCACATCATACTCCTACTACAGAGCTTTCCCCGCAATTCAGATGTGCGTAGCGTCTGTGTAAGTTGAGCCAGATCAGATCTACGCAACTGGTCGGCTTACATAGGTATCGTCAAAGTCCTCCCTCTATGTACAACACAGGCAAGAACTAGCTGGCACCAGCAGAGCAAGGCGATATGCTGCGAAACCGTTCCAGGCTATGGCCGGGAGTGCTGTGGCTTCTAGTCTATATTCGTTCGAGCAATAGAGAGCACTACATTGACAAGCAAGACTAGACCTAGACGAATCGGTGTGAGGTTACGTATCCATCCAGCGTCACGGGCGGCCACAACCTTACTTGCACCGTTGATGTGGAGAGATGCAAGTGATCTTCTCAAGCCGCTCAGACCCAGCAAGCCAGTAACGAGTCGCAGGGCGACCCCGTCAGGACTCAGGAGCCAAGATCTATCTCAGTGCTTCCGAGAGGGCTTTCCTGAATACTACTGGATGACGGGAAAGCCCTCAGTTGCTGGACCCTTGCAGCAATATCACAAGCCCTTGATCAGGTGCAGTGCTGCCGCACTAGATAAGGCCACCTGGGCAGCTGTTGAGCCGTTCCAGCTCTCTGGCCCAAGCTACCCAGGTACTCAGGTATGCCAGGTCGTCCTCCAGGGTCTGGTGCGGTTTGCCCCTCCTTCCCGTCTCGGCGGGTTTGGTGGTCGCAGTCGGTCGCCGGCCATTGTCCATTGTCCATTGTTGTCAGCAATGCATCGCCCGCGGAATCTGGGCTCTCTTTGTTCATTTACTCCTACCTGGAATCCCCAAGACGTTGCCCGTCTTGTGCTCCGTTTTTCCAACAATAGAATCCTCCTTGGGTGGGCAACCGGGTTATCGACGTTATCTATACCGTAGGGGGCCTCGACCGTTGATCAACCCCACTGTTCACTGCCGCGTCGCGCTCGGTCGTGGCTAAATCGGTTGCATCACTTGGTTCAGTCGATAAAAAAACAGGCGGGAGCTATTACTGCCTAACACCACTTGGCCTCAGACCAAACAAGACTCGCTGTCCTCAAGCCCAGACGCAATATCGACAAGTCGAACTCGTACTTCCGCTTCTCAAGTGCTTCATCTCCTGCCGTATTCTGTCTGCGACACTCCCAACCGGTTCCATACCCGGCGCAAGCTCCAGCATCATTCCCGTGCTACAGGCCAGCTACAGCCAACAGCATCGACTCCCGCACGAGCAACCGACTGTCGCATACTCTCGCTCAAGTCTTCAGCACCGTCGCATATCGTTCCAGGCCACTTCACCGCGAAGACGATCAATATGGCATCCTTCTTTGAAGAGATATGGAACTCCATCTTCACCCCCGGCACCACCCCGACCCTCCTGATTGCGACCAACGTGACGTTCGCTGCGCTTCAGGTCGTGCTGTTTGCCCTGCTGCTCGCGACTTACAGCATCCACTTTGTAATACTTTCCGTCCTCTGCGGAGGGTTGTGGTCTGCAATCAACTGGTTCGCCTCGGAGTTGCAGAAGGAGCAAGCCAAGGCTGCCGAGCAGAAGGCAAAGGAGGATGCGATAGCTCGGCAAACGGCCGATGACAGCGATGAGACAGAGGTTGAGTCTGCCGAGTCGAAGATACGGTCGCCTATAGCGCCCGTGTCTGCAAGCAACGAGGTTGAGGTCGTGGAGCCGGCTGGTGAGCTGAAGCAGAGGCTGGACACCTCGCCGGGCTACAAGTCCGGGGTGAGCACCGAGGACGAGTGGGAGAAGGTCTCGGAGAACGAAACCGAGAAAGACAAATAAGGAGGACGAGAGAAGAAAACAACAAACCCAAAAACAATAGCAGAGAGCGAGAGTACAGGTTCACAGAACTCGGGGTGTGCATTGTTGGCTATGCAGCATCTCGGCGGATTTCCTTGTCTTGATACCATTACAGCATGATTAGCTCCTAGCAATAAATACCACCCACCCCCGTGGCCCAGCATCCAGTACAGCCAGAACCACCGTTACGAAACCTGCAGAAGAATAGAGCCCTCCCCCATAATATGGTTTTCTCCCCAGGCTCTCGCTCTCAACTGTGTTAGTTTTGCTTGACTACAATACAATATCGCGTTGTTGCTGCCTTGGGCGTCGCGAAAGACGGAACCGTCACGTGATTGGCTGTGAGCTCCCAAGTGCCATCTCGAAAATTCAAGGTTGGCGGAGAGCTCCCCGTAGTAACTCGTAGACCGCGACCCTCACAACGACGCCACCAAGCAGCACAACGCGTCTGTATCCTGAACCTCGACCGCAGGCTGCGAAGAATCGGTCAACATGAAGCTCGTCAGGTAAGCCGCTCACAGCCGAACGCCCTTCCGATCGCGCACCCAATTGTGCTAAGACTCCCACCCTACGTCTCAAGGCCGGTCTAGCTGACGATTCTCTTTCTGCCCTCCAGGTTCTTGATGAAATGCGCCAACGAGACGGTGACCATTGAGCTCAAGAATGGTATGTGCCCGCCCGCTCCCCAACTGCCTCTCCCAACTGGTCGCTCTCCATGTCGTAATGCTGACCGCGAGGCTTGTACCAGGCACCATCGTCCATGGCACCATCACATCCGTCTCCCCCCAGATGAACACGGCCCTGCGCACCGTCAAGATGACGCCCAAGGGCCAGGACCCCATCCCGCTCGACACCATGAACATCCGTGGCTCCACCGTCCGCTACTTTATCCTGCCGGACTCGCTACCCCTCGACACCCTATTGATCGACGATTCGGTCAAGCCCAAGAACAAGGCCCGCAAGGAGGTAGCCGACCGTGGTGGACGTGGCGGCCCTAGAGGACGGGGCAGGGGACGGGGACGTGGATTCGGCGGCGGCAGAGGCAGAGGTAGATAGGCGCCGGCAGCGAGAGAACATGAACACCATGAAGGGAGCGAGGAATGATTCGTGGTCGAGTCTGGTACGTACCTGGGCAATGGCGACCCAGCGAAGGCGAGAAGATGGGGGAGGACGAATCAGCGACAGCCGGCCGTCTATCACCCCCGATGCATAGGCCAGGAATGAATTTAGACCACCGGGGACAACTCTTGCGTACGGCGTTCGTAGGGGGGGAAACTTGACATGAACAAAATGCTTGATACGCAAACCAACGGGCAGCTGGTATGGCTCCTTTTTTTCACAATTACACATACATCATCTGCGCCGTGACGAGCAGAATAGCAGAACTCGTCAATGGTATAAGAAACCTAACGCCCTCTGGTTGACTCAGTGATCCAGTCTCGTACACCGTTCCCCCGATTTTCATTCCCTCCAGATCCTGATGATCTGCAGCTTCTCCCACCCGGCTTTCTTGCCGCTCGACCCAACCGTCTCAGCCCTCCACTGCCGCCCGAACCCACGGATGCGCTCCTTGACCTCCTCCGGTCTGTTTTGCGCACAGAGCAGGACATATGCGCAGCCCCTCGGGGACAGGGTCTCTGGCAGCGCATCGATCAGCCGGTCCGTCGTCTCCATGCCGTCCCTGCCGCCGGCGTACGACAGCGACAGCAGGTAAGAGTCATGGTCAAAAGTCGGCTGCTTGTCGCCGCCGCCCTCGTGGTCGGCGGCCGGCTGCCGAGGCAGTTCCTCCGTGGGCACGTAGGGCGGGTTGAAGACCAAGACATCGACGGACCCTGGCCGGAGCGGCGCCACCAGGTCGCCCTGCAAGGCGTCCAGGTACATGCCGTGGGAGGCCGCGTTGTCAGCGGCGGCCTTGCGCGCTGTTTCGCGTGTGGCCCGGCACGCGTGGCTGTTGACGTCGACGGCGGCCGTCAGCACGTCGCGCGACCCGAAGATGACCGAGGCGTGGGCGTTGATGAACCCGATCACCACCCCGGACCCGGGCCCGATCTCCACCACGAAAGGCGGCGGCACCGGCGCCGGGCCGGCTGCGTCGCTGCGACTGCCGAACCGGTCTCGCAGAAAGGCCGTCTCCGCAGCCGACGATAGCGTGTCTAGGAGCAGGAACGAGTCTTCGGCCGGCTCGTAGATGCGCTCGAACTCCACGTGCGACGTGTCTGGCGTGGGGAGCATTGCCGCGGGATTTTGCCGGAAAAAGGGGGCGGAGGATGAGGAATTGCACGTGGAGGCATCAAAGAAAAATTTTTGCGACCCGGTGGACGCAAAGTTGGGGCTTGGGCACGTGATAAGCCTCGAGTCTGGCTGCATCAAATATGAAGTTTATCAAGAGAAGGGATTATACGATGTTGTATTGCGAATCGCCCATGGACTGTATCCTTGTGTTATTCATGACGATCCTGCGATGCTGCTGCTTGTTTTCGCGGTGCTTCTGCTCCCGCCGGTGTCGTTGACCCTTTTGCCCACAACCTTGACGCCGAGTGTATTCAGCTGTTCTCTTGAATCAGGAGAGAGGTACAGTTCTCAGGCGTGAATTTATTGCTCTGCTAGGCTTGAATCTTTCTTCCTGGCTGTCATGTTGCTCGCAAATCCGAGGTGGTCGGATTAGCCATCCCGACTCAACAGACAATCGACCAACGCCATAGGCTACATACTCATCTTATCTTGATATATGTAAACCTGCCCTTATGGACCTCGTGCCAGCTGAGTCTAGGTTTGTTTTTCATGACCTCTCTGTCGCTCTGGTCAGAGTATGACGCACTCGATCCCGGCGTCCTGCTTGCACGGCCCACGGCCCCAGCGCCAGCGATCCTTAATGTCCATAACCATGCGAACCTGGTTCTTGTCGTAGCGGCCGCCATATGCGCAGGCAGGGCAGAGCGCCTCGGCATTCAGCAGCGGAGACGGGTCGCGCGCGATTCCGTCCCCGAACGTGTCACATATGTTGAACCCCCAGCCCGGGTAGCACGGCCGCGAGATCTGCAACCAGTGGTGGCCGCAGTTGCGGGAGCGGAGATGGTGAGTTTGACACATTGATGGCCCTACTGAGATTTCTCCCTTAGTTTTTCTCGACGATTGCGAGGGGTTCCCTTTGTGTGTTCTTGAGGTGCTTGGCGAGACCGGTGAGGCTGGGGAGATCCTCTCGTATTCGTCCGTCCGTCAAAGTTGTTCGTCGAGAGATACAGAGTCCTGTTCTCGCGCTGGTGAATGGAAGGAAGCATCCGGTGGAGGTCTGGTGCTGAAGATGAAAAAATAACAAACACAAAGAGAGGATGGCAAGTGCGAATGAGCTTTTGACATGAAATAGAGATGTAGGAGTTTGAATCTCGGCAAGCTTCCGCGAATCATCGATATGCTTTGCTGTGAATCTGGCCGTCGATCATTCCGTCCCGTCGTGCAATACTTCCTTCTGCCCCTGTGCATCAATATCTTATGAAGCCAGGTGCAAGGCTGAAGCCGTAGTGTGGCTACCTTTACTCTTTCCAGTCCATCGTTCTTCCTCTATGGTCAAGGCGACACTGCCCACAACTAGACGTGCTCGAAGTTCCAATAAGATAGTGGCTTCGGGTTTCTAGAGACCATGCTTTCCCTAAAATTGTGGCATGGTCATTCTCACCAGTATCGCTGGCCAAAGGTGCCAAACGTAGAAGAAGTTCAAGTCCGTTGTGCTGGGAAGTTTTCCCGGCAGGCGATGTATAATGCGGCGCCCTCTGATTGTCTCGCTATTTGGAAGACATTACTCGAACCCCAATGTCCCGATATTGCCTCCTGCGCTTTGTTCGCAGTACATTTTTTGCTACTATAACGAGTGGAACGTCCATATACTGAACTAAAGGGGTATTTGAGACTTATTTTACTGCCATACAAGAGACCGTGTTGCAAACACCCTGTAGTCGGCCGCATATATACTTAATATTTGGCCCACAAAGGGCTTCGAATAAACCCGTCCGCGCTAGTAATTCCTGTTTATACTATGCATGTGCGGTGAATAGTTGCAGACACCTGAGAGGATCTTTGGAAAGAGTCCAGTGCCACGATACTGGTCATTGCATGGCCCAAGCCGATTCTGCGGACAGAGAGGTTGCAGGTAGTATCGAGCTAAACAGGTGCAGATATCATTCCTGCAACAAAGCAACCGCTCTTGGAGTGAGTTGACGTGAGCGGAAGGGCTCAACCACAGCATTCTTTGTGGAGCATTTTCAGCTTCATAATGATGGGCGATCCTGGGCACTGGAAGAAGACTTAGAGCCCGCGTAGCTTCGTAAATGGCCGGATAAGGCATTGCAACTTGTTGGCTCGCGTCAGTGTCCATGCTCCATTCGAATGAGGGGACTGCAAGTAAGTGAGGTTTCGTTCCTTCGTCAGCAGGCAGCCAGAGCAGGCAGAAACTTTGAAGCCGACAGCTGCTGGTAGATACCATGTTAAGCCAAGGCAAGGCGTCGTCATTGACTACCAGCATTTGATTTGGTTAGCGCAACTCGTAACAACCAGACAGGGCAGTTGCTCGGCAGTGGTGTAGAACAATTCCCGGATCGGTAGTCATATTCGGACGCGGATGCGGACGTCTGCTAGCCATGAGTCGGAGACATTCCCGGGGTAGGATATGGCAGGGGTCTTTTTTTCTGTGTTAGGTATCAGATCGTTGCAGGTAGCAAGTTGGCATGCGCTCGCTCGTCTAGGGTCAGGTGAGGAACGGCGGGGGCATGAAGCGATGCGGCGTGCGAGCCATCGTCAGCTGATTCACGTCGATGCAGGGAATGCGGCTTCATCGGGTGAACAAGCGGATTAGCGTGGTTGCAGAATGAAACTTGCCGGCTGAATAACGTGCTCCATCATGAAGAGGTGGACGCATCTGATCAGCGTGGTCAAGCTCGAATGGTGCCGAAATTCTCCACGGTGTTTGGGCCGTCAGGGGAGTTTGAGATTGCGCGGTTGGCAGACAACATCCAGATCGGAGACATGACTATCTTCCGTGCTGTCTTAGCATACACGAAAGTGCTTGAGATGGCGGATAACCCGCTCCGACTACACCGCCGACCCTGACACTCAATACACAGTAGTCAAGAGTCCGTGTGGAGGAAGCTGATGCGGCAAGTTTGACCACACGGTGGGACTGCTAGTGAACTGGATTTGTAAATGAGGGGCTCCAGGCTTGCGGCGTGCTGAAGCTCCATGTCACTCAACTGTCCACCCTGCATACATGCATTTCGGCTGCTGCAACATGTTGCAATACAGATGTTAGTTACGTGCTAAGGCGCGATGACCGTGCTCAATTTTCAGTTGATATCCTCAGATCCAACCCATCCGCCATGCTCTTATTGGTAGGGCTTGTGAGCCGATGGTCTTTTGACTATTCGTCGAGTTAAGTTTTCGTGGCACGTACAGACGGAGCCACGTCGGGACCAACAAGGACTCTTCCAGTATTAACCAAGGCTGTCAGCCAATGGGCGATGAGCATTCAAGATTTGGCTTTCCCAGAACGACAAGGGCAGTTCGGACCAGATTTCGAGGCCAATAAGTCTCAACCAGGCCTGTGCTTGGATGGTCACCAGGCGTAGCCAGGGATGCACAAGTTGTCTATCCCGCTTGCTGTGTAGCAATTATGGCAGATCGACAGGAGAAGCCCATAGGATATCGATAGCCGCGTAGTCTTCGCCGCCCCAAATGCAGTCGTTGAGGTGGGAATTGTCGGAGGGTTCAACTGTGCAATCGGATTTGTTGCAGCGGCGGCATGACGGAGAGATCAAGCTTAAATGCCGGGGCTCTGAACGATGCAGATAAGTGAGAACCCATTGAGTTCAAATGATGCATCAATGCCAAAACTCAATTTCAAACCAGCAAGGTACGCGAACTGGCGAATATCCTACTGTTTGAGAATGGAAAAAAAATGGGAGCATGAGAATACAGCTCTTTGGGAGCAGGGCAGATTTGGTGCTACCGTTCTGCATACTGGTCTAAGAAGGCACTCGGATCGGGTGCCAGGCCTTGGCCAAATCACGCCGAGCATGTTGAGCATTGGTTACAGCAATTGAGCCGGCTTAGTGCTCAGCACCAAAGGTCAGTCTGACTCTTGGGGGGATGCTCAGCACGACTCTGGTGCCGGTCACAAGAGATCTTTTCTGACCGGTGCTTATTGGATACGAAAACGTCAAAGTCCCAGGGAACCAGCCTCCACTCGTCAACATTGTTTGCCTGCCATCACAAGTGAGGTTAGACGGCTCGTTGCCTGCTGAATGTTTCAAACATTTAGCAAAGGGGGCATCGTGGTTTTACGGTGGGTTAGTGTGAGTGATGGATAAGAAATAGCCTCTCGTCATTTGTGCAATAGCCGGGATTGACGCTAGTAGCCATGGGAGTAACATGCACTATCCTGGGAGTGGGTTGTGACGACTCGCAGCCGTACACAGTATGTGCCTTGAGCGGCTTGATATGTGTGACACTATCATGACCATCCTGATGACCGCGCTGGTTGCTTTTGGGATAAGCTCCGCGGATGTATCGGTAGGGGCATTGACGACGGTGAATGATGACCTCGGAAGCAGCTGGGTGCGAACAGCCCTGGTTTTTATCCGTCTAGGAATGTCGACCAAGTCCGGAAGGAAAGCATCAAATATGGGCAGGCCGGAGCCGGAAAGTATCTTGGTGCGCAGCCTGTTACAAGTCTCGGGCACAAGCTGCGCAAGGTTCAGGAGGATGAAGCACCGGGTGGTTCACAGGTGTATGCCACGACCTGCCCACAGGCCTCTGGTTTTCTCGGCTTCCCAAACGCTAAGTTATCACAGATGACTGACTAGTGAGATCCGAAGTGCTGACCGACCAGGGTTGCAGTGCGGCCAAGGCATTGGCCGATGCATCGGAGACCTGTCGAATGCCTGACGGGGACCGACTATATTGGGCGTGTGGTACAATGAGTGGAGGACGGTGGCAGACCGTCGGAGCAGTGGCGACGAAAGGCACTATTTGGGTTGACCGACAAAGCGAGTGGGTTCGCCTTCTGAGCGGGACTTGTCGTGGTGCACAGGAGCGGATTACAGTACAGGCATGATGAGCTATCATCGTCATGCAAGACAAGGAGCGGTCGCCCTGCTTTCTTTCGCTGGATCATTCCGCGCCGTAGTTAGCGGGTTCTGACACTTGCAGGGGAAAAGGGCGAAAAAGGGACCTTGGTTCAGAAGATCCGAGTCCAAGACCCAGCTGGGCGCTGGGTCGAGGCGGGCAGGAAGAGGCGGGGTGCCCTTTTTAAACAGGCTGCCTTTACTCTGCAGCACGACCTGTTCCAACGCAGGGTTTGATGCGGTGTTGCGTCCAAGCCATCGACGGCCTAGAGGTTGCATACGACCCACGGGCGCCGGCAAAGTCGTCGTCACATGGTGCTGGTCCAAGTACGGCCCATGCCCGGAACAGTCTGGAGGCGCTGGCTGAATGCTGAATGCGAGGGGCCAGATGGAACGTGTATCGGCCGCCTGGCGCCCTCATTTGCTCGTCATGACCTGTCGATGCACGAGGCAAAGATTAGAAACCAACTCATCACCCAGGGCCACCTTGTCCGTCTGGAATGCAGCGCTGATTGCCAGGGCAGGCAGGCAGGCAGGCTTGCAGGCTCCAGCAACAGACGAGAGGCAATGGTTCCCGACTCGGCTGCCCTCCTTGGCCAAGGTAACGCAGTCGCTTGCCCTCCCCTTGTGCCCTGGGATAGTTACGGCAAGCCGCCCCTTCGTCCCATGCTGCCACTTTGGAATCCTCGTGCATCTTGTTTTGGAGCCGGCCAGCTCGCTCACTCGCCCGTTCGACAGACGGAGCCATGGGCTCCCCTTCTGATGCCCGAACGGCAGGGGGATCAAGGGACAAAAAAAAAAAAAAAAAGGACGAAGCCGCCCAGCCCTTGCCCATCCCAGCTCAGCGCAGCGCAGCGCACGCCCGGCAGACGCCCAGGTGAACCCAGGCACGTCTTGCTGCGGGTAGGCACGCCCAACTGAGACTTGCGGCCACATAGATCCAGTCCAGTCCAGTCCATGCTCGGGCTTGGATCCAGTGTGCTTAAGTAGGTATGGATGTGTGTCCCGCGCTTCGCTCTCCTCATTAGTCTGTTAGCTCCCACCCGTGGATCTGTGTACGAGTTACATGCGTATTGGATTAGCAGAGCTGCTTGGTCGTTTGGCGACCGCCCATCCGCCGCTCCAGTCGGCGACTGCTAAAAGTAACAACCTTGAGCCCTTGAAGTAAAGTTCGCCAACCTCTCGCTCTCTGACTTGCTTGCTAGGGAGGCTTCCACTTGAGCTCATCACGCACCACCTGCCCGGCCGGCTCCTCTTCCTCTTCCCTTGCCCTCCTTGCCCTCCTCGCCCTCCTCGCCCTGCTCCTCCTCCTCCTCTTCCCCAAGGCTCCTCCCTCCTCCTCCACCTTCCTCGTCATCGTCCGCCTGACTCACGTCCCGGCAGGGCCTCATCCTCGCGTGCTCTCGCTCTCGCTGCCGCTGCCGCTGGTGCTGATGCTGACACTAATAAGACTTACACCAAACACCCTGCTCTTATCACCTGTCCTCCAAGCTCACCCCTCAAGGTCCACACCTAATAAACCGCACCCGCCTTCTCTCGTTAGTGATACGGCGTATCAATACTTCTCCCCAGAAACCTCAATACTACAGTATTTCAATACAAACCCCCTCATGACCATCTGTGTGACCCCAGCCGACAAGTCCGACATCATTCCCGCCTACAAGTGGTGATTCAGTGAGATCGACTTAGATCAGGATTACCCCTCGCATGCCTATCGCCGACTATCTCCTTGGCAGGCAAACGAACGAGCACCCCCCTCTCTCTCTCTCGCTGTCTTGCCCGGCGACGAATACCCTTTCGAAACCGACTGCTTGCCTTTGGATTGCGAATTGAGACGGAGTGGCTTGGCGAAGCTGTGCATTGCTGGCAAGAGGCCTTACGGTTGCATGCTCTCGATCTCCTCAATATCGGCGTCGATGAACAACTTCAGGCCTAGATAGTAGCGGCGATATTCAAGAACCAGGAGCACGCTCTTGGCTGTACAGCTCGACCAGTGAACCTCTTTTTTGACTTACACGGAAACGACGACAAGCACGAGGGTATCTCCTCCATATCCAGCAGGAAGGATTAACTGTTCAACGCTTTGTCGGGAGTAGCAGGCTCCATACAGAGCCGTTACTCTCGACGTTACACCACGGCCATGGATCCTTCCGCTATGGACTTCTCGCCGCCCTCTAATCGAGGTGGACTGACTCCTATGTCGTTGGACCACCAACATTCGTCACCCTGCCCAGCGTTGCGAGCGGCTGCAGCCGAGCAGCATCAGCTCCCTGGCGTCTATTCACACCCACGCGGTAGTCATGGGTACCGATATGACCCAGTGCACAACGGTGCGGCCGGTGGAAGCTGGTGGCATCAACCTCCTCCAGACGTTTGGTCGCACCCGCCGGTCCCTCCTCACCTTGCGCGCTCCGTTCCGCACATGTATGCGCCGCCATTTCCAGGCCCGCCAGGTCTTATGTCTCCCATGGGCGTTCCGCATGGAGGTGCACCCCAATACTTGCCGTTTGGCCTGGTGGACAATTACGGCTCCCATGGCCATCCGCACCCTCAAGGGCACCCGTCGCCACCATACAACCCCCGGCCGACAATCCCGAGCCTTGACAGGATCGGAGGTACAGCTCCAACGCAGCACAGCCAGAGCGGGTTCGGAAGTATGATAAATGGGCCTGATTCACATGCACCACGTGGTAACAATAGATTACCTGCGCTTTCCCAACTGTAAATTCGCCTGCAACTTTTGAGAAGTAATCCCAAACTAACCAGAGGTGCAGAAACAACTCTCGTACAAATGACAATGGCCCCCGACCAGATCCGGCACCCTCGGCGGGGTCTGGACAGAATGGTGGTTATCCAAGGATTGGTCAGGGACAGACACCAACAGGCATGTATTTGGGTTGAATATCAAGCGGCGATGACGCTGACATGTGTGATTAGCTCCAAGGGAGTCATCAGTAACGATGCCGCCCATGCCTCAGAGCGCTGCAGATTCAGCATCGGATGGGAACCGGCTATTTGGAGGAAATGGGCGAAACAGGAGACCGACTATGCCAATGCCAAGTTCCGAACCTTCCAGCGACGAGGACTCGGATCCCAGCGACCTTGAGACGTCAACGTTGAGGATGCTGGAGTCTATATCCGCCGGTGGCCCAGCATTTTCGGGGCCGGATGGAGGTCTGCGTGCTGCTCAGCTTCTCCGAGGCACCGCAGCCGGGAAGCGAGTAGCTTCGAAGACAGCTATCGCTTCATTGGAGAGTGTGAAACTCTCCGATCTCCCCGAGAGCGAGAGGAGTGAGTGACTATTCCTGTTCTGTCTCCGAACCCGCCATGACTGACTTGTACATAGCTTGCATTATATGCTATAACGATTTCGGCACGCAGACGCCAGAGGGCATCAACGAGGCTCCTCTTCGACTCCCGAAATGCAAGCATGTCTTTGGCGACCATTGTATCAAGAAGTGGTTTGAGGAGTCCGACAGCTGTCCCTACTGTCGGGATAAAGTACCATCGGAGGCTCAGTTTCGGCATACGCATCCGCAAGCTATCTTCCAGTATATGCGACAACATCAAATACATACCCACCGTCACCAAAGGGAAGCAGGCTCCCGGGATCGCGCCGGTGAGAATGGCGGTAGCCCACCTTTTCCGATGATCACCGACTTCCACGACTTCGGGAATCGCAGAGCCGACCTTCAGGTTCTTCGCAACTCTGCTTGGCAATACGCTGAGCGCCGATCACCTCCCAACGAGTTCGGTGAGGGCCGCAGAAGGACGCGGGCTCGCCATGGTAGCCTACGTGGCTCTCCACCTTCACTTCGGCCGAATCAGCATATCACCTCAACAACTACAGGCCACTCATCGAGTCCGGTGCGTGAAGCAGCAATCTAATTATTCTTGGCTACAAGTTCATTTGCTAATTACGTGAACAGTTCCCTCCCGGCGGTAGGCCATATCCCTTTAATCATGCGCATCGTCATTCTGTAGCTTTCGCCTCGCCAGCTCCCCCACGACTATCAGATGCGCCGACATTCGAGCCCAACATATCGGCACCGTACATGGGCTCCCTCCCTGGAATGCAGAACGAGACGGCAATGCCACAGCACTACCCCAACCCCTTAGCGTCCAACGATGCGGATGCTTTCCGTCCTGGTTGGCACCCAGTGCGCACACAGCCATATACGTCGACTACTATCAGCGGTCCAGAGGTCAACATGGCCGATGCGGAAGGTTCCCCAAGGGTCCCATCTTCTCACCAGCGGCCATAGAGGACTTCAACAGCGAGGGCTGCCTCTGCGAAGACCAAACATTCACATTCAACCACGAGCTCAAGACAGCTTAGACCAACAGAACTTCCTTCCGGAGGCTTACATTAATTGATTTGCACGCTTATAGACATCGCATTTCGAGCTCTCGGGTTCCGGCATTGGATTGACACATACCAGGTAGTTTCCTTCTCTTTCGCTCTCGGCGATTCTACTCTTCGAATTCAGGCACAGGAAGGCGTTCAAGGCGTATCGAGGAAACTGCCTTGCCCAAGGCATTGAAGAATCACACATCAGGGGTTGCATCTGGCGTCCTTTGAAACTTATTCCCCCCTCGCAGCCATGGTCTTAATCTCAACACCCTACCTCAAGATGTTCCACTCTTTCTCCATCTACTTGGGTTGCACTTCGTCCAGAAGGGAAATCATCTCATTCCACATGGCACTAACCGCGGTCGCCACACAATAGCGATGACTCACATTTCATTTCAGAGATAGCCCATTCAATAGAGATACGGATTGAGCGCTTGTTTGAGAAATATATGTCAATGAGACGACCAAAAGAGTGTCCGGGCTTTGTGCGTGAATTTGCATGTAATACCCTGGTGGTTTGGAAGTCTCACAGCTCCCTCTTTTCGCAAAAAGGGGTCAAAGCGCCGTATATTAGTTGGAGCGTAACGCTCTCGCGTAGGTGTGCAGGACTCAGGGTCGAACTCAACTTAGAAACACCACCGTTCGAGTTTTGTCATTCCCTGGGGGCGCTTCAGCCTAGGTTGCTGGCCTGTAGTATAGAGGAGTCAGGTTTTGAGGCTCACTTCTTTGACTCTGTACCGGCATCATCGGGTCAGAACGGCTCATAGCGACATTCCACTTTATTCATCGAGCACCAGGATATCCTCTACCTAGAAGTGCGCGTCATAACACATGCAATAAGCCACCATCACAACAACCCGCCACAGGGACTATAACTTGGCAGCCAGGCTGACCTGGGCCTTCTCCCGCTCCACCAACTGCCACGCAAACTCGGCCAGGGGCCCCATGGCCTCGGAGTGCTTCCGCGCCTGCTCGCTGCTGGCCTGGCGCGTGGCGACGCGGGCCGCGATGCCCTGGCAGATGGCCGACAGGCGGAAGACGCTGAAGGCCATGGCCCAGTTGATGTCGGGCCGCGGGTCCCAGCCGGCAGCCTCGGCGTACCACTTCATGACGGTCTCGGGCGTGGGCAGGCCCGGGGTGGCGCCCGGCACGAAGGCCTCGGAGCTGCTGTACTTGGCCGGCATGGCCGCCGTGTAGAAGGGGTGCATCAGGTTGGCCAGGTCCGACAGCGGGTGGCCGACGGTGCTCATCTCCCAGTCCAGGATGCCGATGACGCGCGGCTGCGACTTGTGGAAGACGATGTTGTCGATCTTGTAGTCGCCGTGGATCAGGCTGGCGCGGTCGCGCGGCTGCCGCGACCGGTCCGCGAAGAAGGCCAGCAGCTCGTCAAAGTGCGGCAGCGGGCCGACGGGCCTGCCCGTGTCGGCGTCGACGGCGCGCGCCTGCGCGTCGCAGATCTGCCGCCAGGTCGCGAGCTGGCGGTCGTAGAAGCCGCCGCTCTTGCCGAACGAGTCGAGCCCGACGGCGGGGCTGCGGTAGTCGACGGCGTGGAAGCGGGCGAGGGTGACGACGGCCTGGCGCCACAGCTCGGTGCGCTCCTGCGGCGACGCCGCCTCGGGCATGGCCGGGTCCTCGAGGATGCGGCCGTCGAGGAACTCCATGATGTAGAAGGGCGTGCCGACGACGGCGGCGTCCTCGCACAGGCCGTGGGCGCGCGGCACGGGCACGTCGGTCGGCCCCAGCGCCGCGATGATGCGGTGCTCGCGCTCGACCTTGTGGGCGGCCTTGGAGAGCAGCTTGCCCGGCGGCTTCTTGCGCAGCACGTAGCGCTGCTTGTCGGCCGCCGTGAGCTGGTAGGTCGGGTTCGACTGGCCGAAGCCGAACTGGGCGAGGGGAGGTAAGGTCAGCCTGGCTACCCTAGACCAGCCGTCGGCCAGGGGGAGGAGAACGGGGGAGCTCTTGTTACCTGCTTCACGTCCAGCGGGGTCTTGATCTCGGGGGCATGCTGCTCGATGTAGCGCTCAAGCGCCTTGACGTCGATGGGGTGCCGCACACGGCCTGCCATGGTTGTGAATAGCAGGAGGACCTGACGCTGGAGAAGTGTTTCGAGGGTTGGCGGGCGGGCGACCTTGCGTGCAAAGGCTCGATGTTCAACCTCCAATGGCTATCACTGCTGCGAGACCATGCACTCTGGGGTATGTGATGCAGGATCCTAACTCCATGGCCGGGGTTCCTCGCGGTGTGGCCAGAAGAGGTGACTTGACGTGGCAGCTAACAGGAAGGGAGGCTGCCCGCCGCCGACCTGCCCCATGCCGAGGTACATGAGCTCTGAGCACGGAGCTACGGGCGGCGGTTATCAGTAACCGACCCCGACCCCGGCTTTTGGACCGCTTTTGTGGGGGCGGGGTCACGTCTTTCTACATACTACTCACTGAGTATCCACAAGTTGCTCTAGTGAGCGAGCCGCCTAAGTTCGAGCGAAGGGTTTGTGCGGCAGGCCTGACCTACGGTAACGATCGAGATGTAGATCAGTATTAGTTAGTATATGCAACTGGCCAGCTCAATATGACAGGACAAAGACCAGTTGTTGGAACTGACGGGGACACAGGCTGTGGTTGACTGAGCTGGAGCAAAATGTAACGACGAGGACATTTCGGCTTGGGCAACAGGTTGCTACTCTAATAAGCATCGGTTAGGGAGCTTGTCTAGAGGCCCATTGCACGAACGGTATAGGTTGGCTTTTGTACACATCGCCATACGAAGCATTCGGTGCCCCCAAACCCAGAGACTACAATTTGTTTGGGAGCTTCCACGGCCCCCTTTTCGCTGGGAATACAACTTTACATTACACCCGAATCTGCACCCGACCCGAGATTCGAAGACTGCGGCTGGCCTCCCTCACCCTCAATCGCTATACCCAAAGACAAGCAGGCGGCAGCCAACAGGTCTCGACAGCCTCTTTCTACCACGCACTAACCTCGAAGTTTTCCTGCACGTGGTGTTAGCTCATGGGCGTCCGACTCGTGAGGCGGGAAGGGAAACTCACCTCGGGGAAGTAGGTCGTAACAACGGTTCTGTCGGCAAACTTCCGGCCCGCCAACGCGGTCAAAGCCTTCTTCGCCGACTCTGTCGAGTCAAACTTGACGAATATCTTGCCCACGCCGGCTGACTGTCGGCTCCCGCCGCTGGGCCTGGGGACCTTGAGCCCAACCACCTGGCCAAACTTGCTGCACTCCTCGCGAACATCATCACAGATTTCTGACTTAGTTAGTAACTTTTGTGCTACGGCTGCAACGTGAAAATTTTCTCACCTTCGTAATCGTCGTTGTCCATGAGCTCCTCTGCCGTAACCATGTTGAGCAGTTGCAGGACCCTGCCCTCCTCCTGGTCTGCCGAAGTGGTGCCAGCAAGCATGGACATGGCATTGACGCCCATCTCAACGCCAGCTACCTGTGTGAATCCCACACTCGCCTTCTTGACCTTGAGACTCTTGTCCCCAATGGCCATGCCATTGAGTCCCTGCACAGCAATCTCTGTCGCGCTGGGGTCGACATACTCGCAGAATGCAACGCCCTAAAAGAGAAGAAAAAAGATGGTTAGCTCTGGACAATCTGCTGGGAGCAGAGCTCAGCACTCACCCGTGATTCCTCCGTGCCTGCGTCCTTGACCAAGACAAAGGCCTTCAGTTCGCCAAACGCCACCAGCAGCTCCATGACTTGCTCCTCAGTGAGATACGGCGGGACGTTAGCCACGCTGATCTTGTTGGGGGTATCCACGACCACCTTGGACACAACGCCGGGTTCGTAGGGGGTGTCATCAACGACAGCAGGCACAATGTAGTCCTTGGGGCGCTGGATTCTCAGGCCATGGCCGCTTCCATTCTCCACGCCGTTGCCCATGGCGTCGTCGGGTTCCATGGAGATGCCGTCGAAAGCCAGAGCGAGTGTGGCCTCGGAGGCGTTGCGGAACTCGAGAAGAGCGAACGAGTGGTCGCGGGAGACTTGGCACATGATGCAGGGGTCGGTGCTCTCGACGACATTCAAACCATTCAGCTGAAGGTTGAAGAAGCTGATGATGCCTTCCTCGGTCGAGGCGGCGGGGATGTTGTAGACCAAGAGGCGCTTGGACTGGCGGCTGTTGGAGGGCTTGAGGGCGGCACTGTTGACGGCACCGCCAGGCTGGTTCATGAAGGCCTGCAGCTTGGTAGGGTCCATAGGCTGCTGGCGAGGCGCGCCGGGAAGGGGGAACATGCCCGAGAGCTTGGCCTGCTCGGCTGTGACGTTCTCGTATCCGGGGGGCTTGATGTCCCATTGTGTCATGCGGCGCTTACGCTCCAGGACGGAGACGACGTTGGTGAGGTCGGGAGTCGGCTCGCGCTTCTTCGGCGGGGGAGTAGCACTGCGGCCGCGGCGGTTCTGTGCGAAAAGATCCTCATCCCGGTCCCGCCCTCCTCGGTCACGCCTGTCGCCGCCACCCCGTCTGTCGTCAAAGAGATCGCGGTCGCGTCTGGGAGGTCGTCCTCCATCATCGCGACGGTGGTCTCGCCGGCCACCTCGGTCTCTATCGCGGTCCCAATCACCCCTGCGGTCCCTGTCGCGGCCGCCACCACCTCCGCCGCCCCGGTCGCCCCGGTCACCACGGTCGCCACGGTCGCCGCCGTACCTGTCCTCTCGCTCGCGGTCCCTGTGGCTGCGACTGGAAGCGTACGAGTCGACGTCGCCTTCTCTTCCGTCGCGATGCGAGCGCCTAGGCGACCTCGAACGTCTGCGGTCCCTTCGGTCTCCTCGATCCCCACGGTCGCCGCGGTCGCCGCGGTCGCGTCTGTCGTCTCGGGAGGAGTAGTCGCGAGATGAGCCATGTCGGCCATCTGGTAGACGATGTGTTAGCCTGGGCAGCCGCAAGACGGCTAGAGGGACAGAAGGGGGAAACAAACCTCGGGACGAATAGCCGTCGCCGTTCATTCTGGCTGTGGCAATTGATCGCCGACGTGGGAACTGTTCGATGTCGGCGGGCCAAAAACGGTGATGATGAAATGCGTCGAGTTTGGAGTTTGGAGTTTGGAGTTTGGAGCACCAAAGCTTCACGAACAGGAAGCAAGCTGCGACAGGGTGGATCTGCGACAGACGAGGCTGGAGTCTGAAATTTTGGCTGGGGGCCCAGAACAGAGCGGCGCTCGGGCGCGGCGGTGGGCTGATGGCTGATGGCCGATGGCTGTTGGCTGCAGGCCGCTGCAACTCGTAGGCGGCAGGTAGGCTGGTAGGCTGGTAGGCTGTAGGCTGTAGGCTGTAGGCTAGGCTGTACTATGTAGGCTGTAGACTGTAGACTGTAGGCTGTAGGCTGGTAGCCTGTAGGCAAAGCTAGCTCATCTGGTCTGGCGCCAAGACGTTCCGGGTAAGGCGCCTCTTTTCCCGCCGACCCACTTGCTCCCTTTGGCATAGAATCGCATTGCCTGGACAGCCGCGCCCGAAGTGTGTAACTGACTACGCAGCTCTGGGTGGTAAAAAAAAAAGGGTTGCACGCCTTCGAGGGGACAATATATCTCCTTACGAACTCTCCGGTTCATATACTTTGTCGTAGTCTTGAGCTGTCGATAGAGCCAAGCCGTCAGTGTTTTTTTTTTCCACCACACCCAGTTGCACTATCCTCTCTGCTCTTTGATTCTCATGACGGCCATGGCGGCACTGCGTATTTCTGAGTGGCGAAAGTTGCCCCTGAGCCTCACGGAGCTGTGCATTGAGACGACCTTGCGTTGTGGCCAGTCATTCCGCTGGCGCAAGATTGACGATGAATGGTTTGTCCTCCGTTGTAGAAATGCCGTTTCCCTTGAAACTAACCCTTCCCACAGGCACATGACCCTGCACGGCCGCATCTTGTCTCTGAAGCAAGACAGCGACCATTTACACTACAAAGCAACTTGGCCTGCACCTATCTCAACTGGCAACAACAAACGGCTTTCCACAAAAGACCTCCCCATACAGGATCTGCCGGATGACACAGAGGATCTGCTGAGGCATTATTTCAGCCTCAGGCACAATGCTGCTACTCTATACGAACAATGGTCACAGAACGACCCAAACTTTCGGAAGAAAGCACCCAAGTTTACCGGCATACGCATCCTAAGCCAGGATGCATGGGAGGCTCTCATAGGCTTCATATGCAGCAGTAACAACAACATCTCCAGGATCTCGCAGATGGTCCACAAGCTATGCGATCACTACGGCCCACTCATCGGCCATATCGGGGACCAACCTTTCCATGACTTCCCAACACCCGAGGCCCTGACGGGCAAGAAAGTTGAGTCGCATCTGAGGGAGCTTGGCTTCGGGTACCGGGCCAAGTACATAGCAGAAACGGCACGCATGGTGTCACAGGATACGCCCAAGGACTGGCTGGAGAGCCTGACAAACCCCGAGAACCCCGGGTGGGGGTCAGAGCAGTATGGCAAGATTGAGCGATCCACCTACAAAGAGGCACACGAGAAACTCTTATCGCTGTCCGGTGTTGGGCCAAAGGTCGCCGACTGCGTCTGTCTGATGGGGCTGGGATGGGGCGAAGCAGTCCCCGTCGACACGCACGTCTGGCAGATTGCTCAGCGAGACTACAAATTCGGAAAGACCAAGACCAAGACTTTCTCGAAGGTCATGTACGACTCTGTCGGCGATCACTTCCGCAAGATCTGGGGCAGCCAGGCGGGCTGGGCCCAGTCGGTTCTCTTTACGGCGAACCTCAAGTCGTTCTCGGATCGCGCGGCGGCAAAGCCCGAAGTCCAGGACGTCAAGGTGGAAGTCGAGGAGAAGGTGGTGCTCGAAGATGCGAAACCAATAGCCAAGAGGAAACGAACGACCGTCACAAAAACAGTGAAAGTTGAAGATGGCTTGCAGCCGGATATGGCTGACAGTTTGGCAAAGAGGAGAAGGACAAGGTCGTCGATGGCTTGACCTTCTGATCTGCCTCTAGTACCATACGATAACGCGCTGGGGGATACCTCGAACGTTCCGCATGACACGACACCATGTTGTTGGGTTGTTAGACGAAGCCCGGTTTACCTATAGCGTCGTCCACGCATCTGGTCACGGGCCCGAAATCGATAGAATGCTTCTCAGCAGCCAGCAGATCGTGACGTTCAATTTAGCAGATAATGTACATTAACACATGTAATGTAATGACATCCAGTATAGACGCCCCGAACTAAATATAGCATGCTATTGAGATGAACTACATAGGTGACGTAGGTGTCTACGTAGCTTGGAAGTCAAGCAACAAGGTGCTCATGTTTATTTCACTGGAGGCTGTGCTGTGCTCTTGACTGCAAAACACCCATGTAAAACCATACGGTAGTATGAGCAGGTTTGCTGGTCGTGCGAATGTGGTCAATCCCATAAATCCAACCATCCCACTTGCGCTACCGATCTTTTCTTCTGTCTGAAGGCTATGACATAGCTGAAGGCAGTGAGGCAACATCCACAGCTGCAAGCCGAGGCCACGTCGTTATTCTTCTGTTATATCAGTCGGCACAGCAGCAATATCTTATTAGCTAAGGACAGAGGCGGCATGTGTAAAAATATAACAACACAGATTTCCAGCGACGTGGACGAAAACACAAATATCTGGAGACAATACAAGTGTGAACTAAGTGCTAACACCGAGGTATAAATGTCCAAATAAAAAAGGAGATCATCCCACAGAGTGTCGCGGAGTTATCAACAGCCCGAGGGTAAGCCGTACGAGGCAACAATATCCATCACATCTGCCTATTTATTGCAAACTGTTTATTACGCATCATAAGCTATGTACGACTATTATCTATCGGGCATACATGAATCAATGGTCTTTACGCTTCCATGATTCTTCTTGGGACCGACGCCCGTTGCATTCGGAACGCATACGGCGCATCTTTAGAGCGCATCCTGCTTTCTTAGGTCCGCTAATATAGGTTAGAGACGTATGATATGATTTGGTCGCCATGGTAGATCTTGTCTTCCCTGAACAACTGCCTCAGCTCTCTCTGAACTCCCTCTAGCCTCTTTCCCACCCAGCCCTCAATACCGCTCTGCCAGGCAAGGTATCAGAAGCCATTGGATCCTTCAACCTTAGTCTCTAGCTTTACTGGCTACCACATGGGAGAGGCTTTCCGTGGGTGTCTTGTGATATGAACGCCCAATGAGCGTCATGTGAAACCGAACTATCTTTCTCTGTTTCCCTCTGTTTCGATATGATGTTTGACATGGGTTTTGCATACATTGCTTCAGAAATAAAGCGACGTTCGATAATATGATACCTGAAGCAATGTGGAGTCACGGGCGTCGAGATGACGCGCAGAGTAAGAGAATTTGTTGCCCTCCCAACCTTGTAACTTGCTCGCTGTCCAAGTGTACGATTTTATCCCGGTCCCCCAGAACACGCTGATATACTGGGTTTACTGACTCAAGATCCCCCAGTCATCATGTAAGCCCGTGGTACGATTATATATTCTGCAGTTTAGCGCAGCAACCTCCACACGGGAGACTACCCCTTTTCTCTTGGACCACGTCCTTTCTGCTGAGAAGAAATTTGGCCAACGCAGGAGCTCTAGATTCTTGACGCCAAGTTCCTGGAATCCAGATCGTGTCAAGATGTTGTCCTAAACATGGTGCGTCTCGCAAGCTTCCTAATGAGGGAATATATGTAGCCCTGCTTGTATCAGGACGTGATTTTACTACGTCGAGTCACACTGCAGTTTTGAGGGTACTAAGTACCGGTTTCCTTCGGATATTCACCATATACACTTCATGACATCCTTTCAAGGAACTTATGGATGACATGATGGCATCACATCTAAGGCAACAGATCTCGGTCGTGGGTTCATGCTGGAAGATACGGCCTGGGTATTGCTACGTTTTTCCTTATTAAGTCGCGATAGAAAGAGCTTGAACATACGGCAGCTTCGCAGGTAAGCCGCATCCATGCCTTCAGCTTCAAATTATTTTTATGCCACGATCCAACAAGCAAAACTGAATTTCCTCATCTGGATCTTCTCAATAGACGCTACTAATCACTTCCATGATGTTCTCTTCCGAGCTTTGTCCCATCCAAGGATGTAGCAGCCAGAAACATATGAGTTTGCATGTGTAATAATTGCGAGTCCGTACCTTGATGATTTCTCCTTGTAGGTTAGTAACTTTGTTAAGTGAAAGTCAAGCTTTGCTAGATCGAGGGGAGAAATCGAAGCTCCGAGGTAATCAGGATACTCAAGAAACCGGTTACCTTTCACCAGCGACCATGATTGAGTGCCATTGATGAGCAGCATAGCTCAATGAGTAAAGAATGTCATCAGCCCCTTCTTGCAAGCCACCGGGTAGTGGCATCCTAGGTCAAGCATGTATTCGACGCGGGATAAATGGGAATATTGGTTAATAGTAGATTAAACACCGTGGACACAGGGCAGCTTAGCAAGGGCCAATAAGTTTGGAATTTGTTCAGGAGAGCCTCGGCGGCAGCTATGGGCATGACGCAGTCATCGATGTGCCACGAGAGACACAAGTGACGGCATGTCGTGGTACAAAGGGGTAACACATGACGTTATGGGGTGAGGCCGCTTCGCAAGTCACAGAAAAGGAGTATTTCAGTCTATGGAGGGTTTAACGCGTCTCAATTGTAACGGCTTTTGCGGGTTCTGACAGCAAGCTCGTAGAGTTGGCTTCAAACTCAAGCTCCATCGTGAAGCCATTCACATCTGAGATATGTAGGTAGTATAATTCTAGCCAGCCTAGATGCACTCGTATGACCTCCAATGACGATCTGTGTGAGACACGCTCAACTATATTATATTCATGACCCGTGGGCTTCCAATAAGCTCTAAGGATTCAAACAGGGTCAACGTATCGGTGGCCCCAGACAGACTTCATATATAACGAGCAGCATGCAACCCATGGTTTGCTCCAAACTTTTGACTTTGGTTTCAGGGTGATCATGTTTCGAACCATAAAGTCGAAGCCCGGTAAACCGAGTAAAGAATTAGCAAGAAATGAGAAGTGATCACGGACTCAGAAAAAGGAAAGAATCGACACGCGCCAGGTGTTCGCGGGCTATTCCGTCCCATAACTCCCGGCAGGTCTTCTAGAAAGATTCGCACAACGAAGATCACAATTTTTCAGGTGGACAAATAAGGTTCCTGCTAGGAGGACGGTTGGGAACGTCTGTCGGGGATGATCGATCTCAAAGATCTCAAAAGAGTCTTGGATCAACAGCAGAATACACCACTTCCGCAAGCTTTCGACGGGCAGAAGCCTGTGTTCCCTGGCTTGCCACGCGACTTGACCCTGACGATCAGCTGTAGGTCCCCGAAGGTTCTCACCTTGAAACTCTCGGCAGTACGGGGAAGGCTTGCCTATCACCAGTCAGACGGATAGCTCCCGGGAGGCTGGAGGAAACTACGTTCCACGGTGGCCCATCGTTCCACTATGCTGGGTACGTGATCATCGCTTTTCTCCTGCTGCAGTATACACACGTTCATGACATGTGGTGGCCCTCCCTTGCTCCCCCTGAGCCGACCCTTTTGGCTTCGGACTGGCCGTGAAGGCATGCTCGAGGACTCTAATTGGCAATCTGCAGAAAGATTGGAGATTCTTCTGTCGTAAGCATGACAACCCGACCTCGCACTCCCCCTTTTCTCTGGCAGGCAGGCGCATCCCAAAAAGTTCCACAGCAACCCTGGCGCGCCGTTCTCGCAGCCTGCGTTCGGACTGCATTGGGGCCTTGACGAATCCTAGTAGTGTCGAGCTGGATCAATCGAGTGCCGTGCAGATCAGATACTTGAGTGACTTCGCTGCGCGTTGCGATCAAAGTGCCATTCAGCAAATATCCCTGACCCATGGGGAAGAGGGCGGTCCGAGTCCACTCCTCGCGTGCACGACATGTGAGTGGATAGACGACCCGGTACTCGATCTTTAGAGGGAGTACATTGTTCTGAATGTGGCAGCAACCTTGCAGTGCTGTAATCACACAAGAGAGGTTATGATCGGCGCTTGTGCATGGAGTAGTTAGCTCAGACATACATGGTAGTGGTATCAGTACCAGAGGCTGCACGCCAGGCATTGCCCAAGGGTGGAAAGGCCCCAGAAAAATGGCGGTGAGGTGGTCGCGCGATAGGAAGCTGTCCAATTGGTATTTGGAATGCTTTCCACGGACCCTTCTTGCATGCTTGATAGGCGACCATGTTCACATGTCGCATCGCTATTGCTCGGGAAACTCCCGTCGGTGTTGGCGGTGGCAACAGTGTGCACGGCAAGGCATGGTGCAATTGGCTTTACCTCAAGGAAGCTAGCTTGAGGGCTGGCAAGGCATTCCGCACTGGGTCGTCTTTGTATACCAAAGTGGTAAGAGCTAGTAATATAATGCCTGGGCTTACTGGGCAAACCCTCGAGAGGCGAGGGAGGCCAACAAGACGGCACCCAGCACGCCAGGTGTCGCTCGTGGTTGGACCGATCTCCAGCCTCTAGGACCGCCCGAGGTAGCTTCGGAGGACCCTGAAGCTGTTCGCAGCGATTCATTCAAAGTGCCTCGAGATTGAAAATGAGGGGTAATACTACGAACCATATTGGTGGAAGGCCAAGCGCCGCGGCAAGATTCCCATCCTCAGGCAAGATGGCATTTCAGGGAAATGCCCATGACTTTGCTGTTGGGCGAGCGCTAGAGGAAGAACCGGTTTCTTGCCACCACCACAGCCAGAGAGCCGCCCTACCACTGCACAGCATGCAACCTGGGAAGGGGGCGAAGAGGTGCCTGGGGTTTCTGAGGCAGCTCGAATGCGACCTGGCAGCCCTGGGCATTTCTCAAACATGGTCGAAGATGGCAGGCCGGCAAGCTGGGGGGGAGAGGGTATAGCACAGGCTCGATGGGTCGCATTCCACAGTGCAATCTGGAGAGCACGCCACAGGGCAGTGGACTTCGTGCGTGCACGTGTGTTTTCAGTGTCCGATTTTGTCGAGTGCAGGTCCTGCCAGGGGCGCTGGGATTCCGTCGCTGGCAGGTTGCGGTACATCCATGAATGGGTGAAAAAGATGGGACCAAAGCCCGTCTGGGGTGGTGTTGAACCCCTGCTGCGTCTAAGGCATCTCGTTGGCTGGTAGCGGGTGGGAGAGGATGACAGATGGCGAACAGGGGTCTCTGTGGGGACCCATGCGAAATGACGTCAAGTGCTCATTACCCAGTCGACGGCGACGACATTGGGGAAAGTGCGCAATTTGGCGACCTTCGTCTTCCTATTCTGATCACCCAACCCATGGGGTTACTATGCAACGCTACATACATAGTACAGTATGCGTCGGCGCACGCCCACCTGCGAGACCACTGGCATGGCAGTGCTCGTGAACTCCTTCGCACATCTCCCCCACTCGTCAGACGGGCATCTTTAGTAATGAATCCCCCTCTCTGTTGACAGGATTTGCTAAGTCGCATGGAAAGTGTCCTGTCTTTGGACAGGCACACGTGGATCCGTGAGACTCGTAGACTTTGTCTGCTAACCCGGATCCCTCTCGTTCCTATAGTCGTCATCTGAGCCTATCACGATCAGTATAGGCGGAGCTAGCTCACTAGTCGGTGGCAATGCTGCGGTAACGCAGCCAACCACCACATCGGCCGTCCCTTGTTTGCTTTAGGTTTCACTCGTCACTGCCCTATGGGTATGCCGTGTGGTAGGAGGATGCAACCTAATAACATTTCATATGGATTCTTCTCGCATATACAGCCTCACTATAATAAGACACGACAGATACAGCACTCCCGGGGGGCGGCGTGGCAACAAGAGGCGGGCACAGTCGTCAGTGGCCTCGTCGTGGTTTGACAATCGTGCCGCCCAGTAGCGCGAGGGCATCTGGTTCGTTCGCCTTACATCGTTTGACAACAAACTCCGTTATGCCTGTCGTGACCACGCTATCACCAGCCAGTCAGGAGGCTGCGATGCCCTTGAAAGGCCGCTAGAGGACCCTGAAGATCGCGGGCAGATTCATGTATCCATGAGGATGGCGGGCTTGGCGTCTGAAACCACCCCGGTCCGTAACCCACACTTCGGTGGGCCGAAACAAGCGAAGTCACAGAGCGATTTCTTCCCAGCATTCGGGTCGACTATTTGCGCCGTAACGACGTCATTGCCCAGTGCCTGCGAACCAGCCTTGTCGTCATTCGGTGGGCTGTGCCCAAACCCCAAAGCTGTCGAACCTCAGCACAAAAGTCAGCGAGACATGGCTCCCATTCCTTCTGCAGTGCGGCTCGCTATTGATAGAATGAAGACTATGCTGGACATGGCATTGATTTGACCATTGTTCGTCAATCGCTCTCCGCTCTTTGCGTAGAGGTCCCCATACCATAGTGTTTTGCTTTTCGAGCTAGTCAAGAGCGCATCTGCCGCTCCACTCCTCTCCGCTCCGAATATAGATGTCCATCCTCGGCTGTCCATTAGCTCGCAACATGGAGTGTAACGCGACAAATCAAAACTGGACTTTGTACGTGTTACTGTTTGTGGTGTCAGCCGGTGCCGTTCTCTCGAATGAGTAGAGGGGTTATTCACGAGTCACGTATCGAATGGGATGTGAGCCGCTCACTCGTCCATCGGCGTCTCTGCGAGGTTCGGGTGTTTCGTCGTTCCACTATAATCGAGTGCTACATTGCTATCATGTCAGCTGCTTATGAAACGGGAATTGCCAATATAGATGCGCTCGGGGATGTTCATCCCATTTCCAGTTTCTGATACGTAGCCCACGATCAAAAACAGTGGGCGGGCTATTATACCCTGCGCGCAAACTAGTGCAACTATGTCACATCTGATACTGCGCTGCCACCTCCGTTGCCATCTCGGCTCGACGCCTTTACCGGCGCACCCAGCGATCTTCAACGTCTTCAGCAGCAGACGTCACGTGCTGGGCAGGGGTAGCCCTCAGGGTATCTCGGATATGCGTGCGCGCGCGCACATGTGTTCATTCGCATAGGCCGACCCTGCCATCTGACTGGCTGGGTATGGCAGCCGGCTCGCATGGCATAGCCCTTTGGATTTTGCCCCCCTTTCCACGCGCGCGCCGCACGCGGGATAAGCCAGGCTGAACGCCGCAGCTGAGACGAGTCAGTCGCCTCGGCCAAATTCAGCCTCCTAAAAACAGAAACAGGCCAAAAGTCGGGTCCATTGCCCACGTAATGGACAGGAACATGACTGTGTACAAGAGATTCTGGTGTTCTTGCTTAGGTGAGGAGAGACTAAAGGCGTTTGCGCTTACTGCTTCGCCAAACCCGATCGAGAAGTGATCGCGCCTCTCCCGCGGAACGACCACACAATACTCCCTGCCCCACCGGCATAGCACCAATGGGGAGCCGGCCCTTTTGGCTCCCCTTTTTTTTCTTTTCCTCTAGGTAGACACGTACCCCGTAGGAAGCCCACCCGGACCAGTCAGCCAGTCATCAGCCAGGACCCGGCAGACAGTTCGAAGAAAAAAAAAGAGTTTTAGGCCCCGTTGCAACCATCTGCAAGTCCCAAACATGAAACACGCTCAGCGGGCTGCGGGGCGCCGGCCGGTGTGCAGAGAATAAACGGGGCCATTCACACACACACACACACCCACACGCAAGCTCTCCCTCCCTCTTCTCTCCGCACGCCGATCCTGTCCTTGCACGGGGACGTAGCAAGCGGACGTACCAGCTTTGGGGAAGAGGGGGACGAGAATGAACCCGCACACGGCGTAACAGCCAGACCGTTACGGCGCCCTTACTGTTCATTGAAATTTTCTAGAATTCAGTTTGCACGGCGCAGCGCTGTTGCTGCTGCATCGTCCACGACACGTTATAAAGCGGGATATGGTTGACTACCAAGCGATCAAGTGACGCTGCTTGATGTTGCGCATTGGTAAGGTAGTTGCTTAGCTCTCGAATTTGTGTTTCTTGATACTCTCCTCTGTCCCCCGCCTTTGTCATTCATGCCGGAGGTCACAGGACGCATGTGGTTCGGCTCGAAGCCGACCCTGCTAGAGAGGTAGGGATTATTCGCAGATCTCATGTACAAGCTATCCCGCAAGGTGACCATGGAAATGCGATAGGACTGTCGCTTCTCTGCATAGTCCACAGTAAGACTCGGGTTCAATCAATTGGTTTCAAGACACGGGGTCGTAATTCTTCCATTAGATTACAAGGCAGTAGCGAATGTAAGCCTCTTGTCACACGACAACCATCTTCCAGGTTGGTTCATGCCCAGAGAGTAATGCCCTGCCCGTCAGGGTATATGCACGCGGTAGCTAATAGTACATGATCAACATCTTCCACCTCACACGCCTTTTCCCAGTGTGAAGCCATACACCGGTCGCTTGCCCTGCGCCAGGCAAATGTCCAGTCGTCGCTCCAAGGCCGTAAACGAATGCTCGAGTAGTCATCAGCGCCCGAGGCTAGATGACAGTTTCCCCTTTACCACCCAGTGTGAACCTGAACGCCGTTTTGAGGGTATCTCAACAGACACGAATTCCTCGAAAGTGTAAACCTAAAATCCCACATTTGTGGCCCCAAGTGATTGGGCCACGAGCGATAGACGCGAAGAGTATGGGTCTTCTTTCACCCAGATCTATAAGCCCCCAACGCTTCCCCACGCTCCGTATGATTTCCCGAGAAAAAAAACACCGCTCCGAACACGGGCAGTACGACATAAACCGGTGATGCATTTCGTAATCGAAAAACAATGTGCGCACCAGGGATTCACCCCAGGGTCGTTCCAAAAAGTGGGTAATGACAGCCAGCCCACTCTAAACCATTTGGGCTGGCTGGTAAGGCACAAAACTCTTGGTGGTATCGATGCAAGTGTAACCACGGAAAATTGTCGTCAAATAATCGCGTAAAACTTTGAATCAAGCCGTAACATTGCTCAAGTCTTAATCTGAGTTGTCATCATGGTGATCCTCAGAGCCGGCGTCAGACTTGGCGTCGTTCTTGTGCACCTTGCGGTGCCTGCGTAGATTTGATACAACGGAGAAATGTCTTCCGCAGCCCTCCACTTCGCAGCAGAATGCTAGTGATTGTGTTAGCATCAGGTTCAAGCAACTTGTGCAAAGGGTGCCTAAACCATGTAGGGTTACTTACGCTTCTCGCCAGTATGACTGTACATATGCGTCTGCAGAGAGCTGGGGCGCGTGAATCGCTTATCGCAGACCTTGCACTTGTGCTTCTTCTGTGTACTCGATGACACCTTGGAGCTGAATTGACCCATCATGGACTGCGGTGCCGGGGGAGGCTGGGTCATCAAGTTCGGCCGGGGCAGCGTCCGCGACGTGACGGACTCAATATCGGAGCCAGCAGTTGAGTAGTCGCTTACAGACGAGTCGATCGAGCCTCCATAGTAGCTCCCACTCCCATAGTTGCTCGCTGAAGATATCGATGAACTTGTCGAGTGTGTTGATGGGAATCCATACGAGTCGGTCGAGGTCCGGCCCCGAGCATTGGCTGGCGGGTAGATGGCCCTGGGTGTCTCCTGGCTCATGGCAAGCATCCCTTGTCCGGCGTCGAGAGCGTCGGCAAAACTGCGTCGGTCATCCTGGGGAATCCCTCTGTGATTGAAGTCAACTACTGAATTCCGGGAAGAGTGTAGGCCGTCGTCGGTGCCATATTCGGACGAGGAGACTGATGAGGGAACTGACGATTGGGAATACCTTCTGCTGTCGGTCTCCGGGGCCAAAGCGAACGTCGACCGCATGGGGGCTGCGGCATAACCAGAGATGCCTTGGTCATACGAGCTCGGCGAGGCTGCGTATGTTGGGTGTACGGGCGACGCAGACGTGGCTGTCGCATATGAGGGCTCGCCGTATGCGGCAGACGTTGTCTGCATGCGGTTGAGGCTGAGGAGATCTTGGGGCATATTGAGTAAGTCCTGTTGTCCATAGACATCCGCCATGAGAGTGCTACCTGCTGAGGACGCGGTCACCGGGATGCTGCCATACGAAGCCATTGAGCTGGTAGGCGCGGCCGGCCTGCTATGTTGCTGCTTCGATAGCGCATCAAGACCACTGAGACCTTGGTACATGCCCTGGCCACCGGCTGGCGGCGACGAGGCCGAAGCCCAGGGGTTTGTGAAGTGCGGACCGTTCGAGTAGGAAGACATGTGGTCGAAATGTAAGGCACCGAATCGTTGTTGATGATCAAGCGTCATAGTCATCTTCGACGAAAGAGTGATAGTATAGTGAGGGCAGGAAAGGTAAAAAAGCTTCCCAACTCTCGTGTGGTCCGACAAAAACAATATAATTCCGGGAAGGTTGGTTGATCAGCTGCGGAATCCCGAAGTAGACAAGAGTCGTGCCACCTTAACAAGATGTTGCTGATTTCTGATATTCAAGACCCAGTGAGAGAGATCCGATCCGAGTCGTAGAGGTGGTGGGATCAGCGAGCCTTAAGTGTGTCTGGCAAGAGTATGAAGGGCTCATGCGACCAGGGGCTCTGGTGGTTGAATGGGAGGTACAAATCGATGCCGGTCGGTACTTCAGTATCCCCCCAACCCATTCGAAGCTTATTATTGCTTTCCAGTCAGCGGGACGGACAGGTGGAGACCGTCCTAAAGCATGCAGTACCAGTGACGAAGTCGAGCAAGAGTGATCGGCAGTCCAATGTCCCGTACTGAGTAGGGCCAAGGCTACAGGGTTGGGCACAGTCTGGTGAACAGATTCAGACCGGGGCTGAAATTTGGGAGGGAGGTGTCCAATTTGACAAGAACCGTTTTAGTTCTTCGACAGATCAAATATCTGTGGAGCTGTGTGACTCGTCTCAAGACCGAAGAGTAGAAGATCAGCAGTTACCAGTGACCTGGGGAGCCGTGAGACGATGAAGGTCCGAGACTAGGAGAATAAATGCAGCGGAGTCTCTGGAGATAGTCTGATGGAGAGCAGAGATACGCTGTGCCGATGGGACTTTGTGTGGAGTTATATCCAGTAGGTATGTGAGTTCGATATGTGAGATGTTTCGAAGAGTTGGGTTGAAATGCCAGACGGGGAGCAAGCAGGCTTTGAATGAAATCCACTGGGGGCTATGATGCTGGAGGGCCAAGTAAGTACGTAACTAGAGTCGAAGGTGTCGACCCTCGACGTAGTTCCTTGGGATGGACAGGGTTGCTGAATACCCGCCCTGGCTTAGAGCAAGTAGGTATCAGGGTCCTCCGGCTAACCCGAATAGTGTCCCAGCTCTCGAGTCACCATGTGCGAACAACGGCAGGGATAGCGAATCGACGGCGGAAAAAAAAAACGAGTCGATATGGGAAATGGAAGCAGAAGCAGCCGGATGCTAGTGCGGTATGTTTGTGGTGGGCCTTGGAGGTAAAGGTCTGCCAGGTAAGGGTACCGGACTAAAAAGCTACGGAAAATGCCCCTGTCGCTCGATGCCAGCGGGTGGATTCCACCCCCCCTCCCCCCCTCTAGCGCGCTGCTTCAGAGATGGGGGTTGAGAAAAAAGATGTGAACAGGGCTTGTCGCTAGCTGACGCCACTGATGCGGGAGTCGGGTCGAAAGGGCATCTCATGCAGGGTCTGAAAGGTACACACACAGAGATTGAGTGGTAGCATCGAGAATAGATTGCTGCCATGCGATCGGCCCTCTGCTCGGTCCGGCAGTAGAGACATACCCCGGGCAGGACGACGAGCAGTTGCGGCGCCGCGGCTGACTCGAGAGAGAAACGGCACCGGCTGGAATCTCGAGCGAGCAGTGTTGACTTCGCATCAGATCAGACTGAACACCCAGTCGTCCGTGGTAGCGGTGGGTGCCAGAGAATGGATGCTACTTTCCATGCGCAGAGCCTGACTGGATCTTGCCCGCGAGTACCTACGTCACGGGTGATACATGACGGGTTACGCAGTGGCGCCAAGGGCAGAGCATCCCTGTCCGGCAGGAAAAAGGCGGGGCTAGCGGTGGGGATAGCGCCAGGTAACGGTACCTTTGCATTCTGCTACTGGGACTGGGACTGGGACAGAGCGCTGGGAGATGGGAGATGGGGAGCTGAGCACCTACCGTAGGTAAGGTAAGGTTTCTGTTCCTGTCATCCAGCATGATGCCTCGGTGCATAGGGAGGAATCACTATTCGGGCCTCAGAGCTCGAGAAGCAAAGCACCGTTTCTATTTTGGTTTCCTCGCCAGCTCTATTCAGCGATGCTCGTGGCCATCATCGGCATCATCGCTTCCCAGAGCTGACAATACACCACTCGCGCGGCACTGTGCTGAGCCATCTGCTGGACAGTACTGTAGATAAGATGCGGTGGGGAGGCACAATGCCAAGGCCTTCAGCCGGCCTTCTGAGGCCCAAACCCGCTGTTCCGGCAAAATAGTCAATGGAAATGAGCCCCAGGAAACCACCCACTCCCGGCTGCCGGACTGAATAGGCCATTCGGAAGGACGGTGAGGGTTGCATGTATGACGATATACTCAATCCAGCGCGAGTGCTAAGCCGCTCGACGTCCTTCCTCTGGCGGTGCTGCCCCGGACAAGTCGCATCTCCACTCGGATGACTGACGTCGTTGCCATACGATCACTATAGACGGAGTGTCACGGATTCGGTGGCACGCCGCGATGCCTTCGCATCTTGTGTTATGCTGGGTCCCTTACCACAGCGATAACTAGAGACGAACACAAATGTGCTCGACCCCTGCTGGGAGTGTATTGTTCAACCAGACCATCAAATAACATTTCAAGAGAGCTCGCCATATTCGTCATGAATGTGACGGCGTACTTTCGATCGTGTTCCAGCGGCTACGGGAAATGCAGACAGAATATTCGCAATGCTGAAGCCCAATTGTTTTGTTTCAAACCCGTGGCAAGTAGCGGTACCTATTGATGTCTCGTCATGCGCACCATGCCTGGCACTGTCCGTCATTGCGCCCAGTGATAGGAGGACGACCACAAACCTTTCGCTGGGGGTGGCGCCAGGTTAGCTGACCAGCTGGGGGGCTTCAGTCTCAGCGGGAATAAGACTGCATAGGCCGGACGGCATGCTGGATGACAACATCGACAACGGGGCTCCTGGTCAGCTTTTGCATCCTCTAGTGCTTCCCGACCAATCAAACATTTGTGCTCACACCCTGGGCCGAAATCAGACAAGGGTGTGCGAGGACCCTGATCCTCTCCCAAGAACTTTGGGACTGTGCTGTCGCAGAACCCACCTGACCTCCAAAGTGACAGTTCGGTCTAACATCACACATGAGACTAACGCGTACAAGGTAAAGCCTATACAATTCCCATGGTTTAGATTGCACCCGTTTTGATTCATTTCTGGTGTGAGGCAGGATAGCAAGGGGCGCTGCAACCAACAAGACGCGCTATACGCTTTGTTGTTTCTTTACTCACCGTTCGACAGGTGCTTCTGTATCCTATCAGACAGGGTACATGGGGCCTTATGCGCAGCGTCCGCTTGCCACGCTGCGCTGTTGTTTCCTTTGCCAGGCGCCTCGCAAGCCTCTTGAGCTTATCCTAGAACAAGATGAAGTCAACGGCGCTCGAATTGGTCTTGGAGCTAGATCCTCAGAGCGCAGACGTGGCGCGGGATGGGGCAAAGTTCGGGCGATACCAGGAACGCGACTTAAACTCATCAAGCCATCTTAGGTCATCCCAACTACCATTTTAGACGCACAGCATACTCGCAAACTAAACTCGATAGACCAGTGACTGTAACCCAGGCAAGGGCCAGGTCTCATCGGGAACTCGAGAGATTGCCATGGGCATCTCCCCTGGCGTCTGTTAGATTGGTGACCTGCAAGGCCGCATGGTCAAGGGCACAGACTACAGCTGCACGAATTCGCCATGATATTTCGGCCCGGGAGTGTCACCCGAGTCCACATCAAAGCGCACCTCTATACCAGGTGCTTGCAGACTGCTTGACCATATGCGTGTGAGCTGAGCGACTATGCTGCCTGCATCAACACACAGGGCAATTATGCAGCTAAGTGACCGGGGTATTGCGTGTACTGCAAACCTTTCTCGTGGAATCCAGATTGAACCTGGTACTGCTTGCTACTGAATGTCAATGAGGATCCTACACTTTCAGGACAGCGGCGCACAGTACGGGGGCGTATTGGCAATGTCACCCTTAACTTTGATTATGTCTGTGGTAATTCGTACAGCAGACTCCATCACCATGGCCTTTGACTAGTATTCTATCAAGTGATCTCATCATCATGGGTACTAGAGTTTCGACAGTTCAAATGCCGGACCCCCATTCGGCGATGGGGACGTCGGCCCAAATTGTACAATGTATCCACAAGCCTGTTCGCGGATGGGGACCTTGCAAGCACGTGTGTCGACATTCGGAATTAGCCAAAAACTCTCCAATTTCTGGACCCTGCAAAGAAACCATCAGGTGGACTGTGAATCCTCAACCGACCCCCTCGCACTTTCGAAAACACACGACTACCGCGTGGTGGAGCCTTGGGACCATCTGCACAGCCTTGCGATGTCGACGTCGTCAGGAAACCCTCCCGCTGTGGGTGGACCATGTTACATCAGACTACTGCACCAAAGATTATAGCAAAATTGCCCAGTGGAGACGTGCTTGGCTTCATCTTGTTGAAGACTTCAACCATCGTGACTATACCCCCTTTAGCTCTCCGATAAGGGCATCTCGGCGAGAGCGGCCAACAAGTAGGGATAGCTGCCCTTGTCCCCCGAGAAGCCTGACATCTTGGGTCCCGTCACCGATGTTCCCTGGTCCGTGGTACAATGTGGTGGTATTGCAGGCTCTGCTCCATAATGATGAGCTTGCCGATATGCACAATGCTCCTTTTGAGAGTGACCACATCGCATCCGCACAGCGCTATCGAGTCTCTCCACGCCGCGGCCGGTCTAGAAGGCGCTCTATTGAATGCAGAATAACAATGCCGCATGGTCTTCTGAGATCAGCTAGCCGTTGGATCTGATAAACCCAAGAGTTCCTGCAGAATTTCCCGGGAGTTGGACGACGATCATCGGATTGGCAACGGGTCCTGGCAAAGCAAGCCACCATACCATGTCCACGCACCTGCAGCAAAGGCATGGTAGCTCTGAAAAACATCCATCCAGTCGGCTTGCAGCGCTTCCTCAATCTCTTGCTACTGTACGGAGTATGTACGCCCTGACTCCTGGACACCGTCTGGCAAGGGTGCCGGGGGGCCCTCCCTCGCGATCTTGAACCCATTGGGAACATCCACAC